TGATTTTCCCAGTTGTTGGCCGCCTTGGGAAAATGCCATCCTTGGCAACCAATTTCTCATACAAAGGAATTTGATCACGTTTTCTTGGGGTAGTTCCGCCTTGAACTACGTACCATTTTGAGAAGAACGACGACGTTCCGCAAATATGGCTCCCCTCACACAACTTTCCACTTTTTATCAAGTATAAGGCGTGAGACGCAGAGCTAAAAACGTTACTAAAGGGCTCGCAAAGTACATTCTAAGGTTTTCAAAGCCCGACAGGATTATAACTGCCCCTGAAGAAAAATCTCGTCGTGCAAAATTATAGCTATTATGACACTTCGCGAACTTTATTAGAATTGAACTTTTCCAAAACAACAGTTATATCCTTTACTTTCCTCTAAGTTTCAGGCAGAAGGTCGGTTGCGTTTCGCGTGGCTCCCGCGCGACTAACGTCACGCGAATGCACCTGATAGCTCCATGGACCAGCAACTCCGCGAGATCGAGGGCCTGCTGGAATCGAGTGCGCATCCAGAACCTGAAGACGCTACCACAAAAATCAAAAAAGTTTGTTTTTATTGCAACAGATACATGTTGGGCGCGATCTGGGAGCCACAAGGGTGGAGGCCCCAGGTCGAAGTGGCCAATTGCGACGGGACTAAAGTTATGGTGAACGCGCTCCCCGACGCTAATCTTGAATGTGATTTCATTGGCCTTAAAACGACTCTGTGCATGAAGTTTTTTCTACTCACAATCAGGACAACATTGTGCTGGGCAGACACCTTGTATAGTAATATTTCGAGCAAGTCAATTTCAACAGAGGAGCAGTGCTGGTGGGCTCCGGTCGTTTATAACAATCAGGCCGCGAGATCAGTTCCCTGTGGGGTTCGTTTTGCTTTTTTCGAAAGACTTCTGGCTCTGCTACCACACCGTTACTCCACTATTGCTGTCTGTACAAAGGATTTGCGAGCAGATTCCAAAGTACTTGAGCCGCCTCTGCGGCCACAAGGACACCTATGGCCGTGGCGTGCTCTATGGACACCTGAGTGTATAGGTGCCCATAGAGCACGCCACGGGCGTTCTCGCGAAGAGCGGGTGTGAAATTCGTGTCCAGAGGAAAAACTACCACGGGGAAGGATTCCCGGCTGAGTGCAGGACTATCGACTCTTACCGAACTTTGAAAATGTGTTGCATGAATGGGGGAATAACGGCTGGCAGTGGTTTTGAGGCTAGTCACCCTACTCGTCGAAGCCAATCCAAAATCCCTGACTGGGTAGAAAGTCGTTGCTTGACCCCTGGACAAGAGTATGACACTTGCCTGTTAGGAGCCGTGAAAAAAGATTGATATCTGCGTTCAGGGAATCGTTTTGCGGATTCTGAGTGCAGATTTGAGCTCAGCGTTAAAACTCCTTCTAACGATGTAGGTTCCACCACCTAGGCAGCATCCCTAGTCGTGCATTGTATAGGAAACACCATCGAAGAGACTACTCAGGTGTCACTGACTTTGAGCAGAGCGCATGTCAGTAAAGTGTTCCTAGAGAATCGCCCAGTTCATTTCAAGCATTCTTTGTTCTTCGTGGATTTATGCGAAAGTCCTCGGTAAGTAGTATCCGCTATAAAATGTTGTAATCCAATATGGGAAATATTTAGTACGTCAAGCTCGTCCTACCACATGTGGCCCTCGTTGCCGTTGTATGTTTGTATGCAGTGATCGGCGCATATATTTTCTACCGTCTCGAATCTCCGAACGAGGATCGGGTATGTTTGGGCATCCGATTTTTACCAGTTAGTTGAGTTACTACCTAAATGCATTACCCATTATCACGGCTTGAGCATATTTGTTCAACATCAAACCAAATAAGCAACTTTGGCAACAAGAGCGCATTTGGTTTGATGTTTAACAAATATGCTCAAGCAGTGATAATGGGTAATGCATTTAGGTGTAACTGGTAAAAATCGGATGCCCAAACATACCCGATCCTCGTTCGGAGATTCGAGACGGTAGAAAATATATGCGCCGATCACTGCATACAAACATACAACGGCAACGAGGGCCACA